GTACCGTAGATCTGTTTGCATCTGGTATTACTCGATTACCGTATTACAAGTAACTTATACTGTATTATAACCTTCGTCACAAAAAAAAAATCCTCAAAGATAATAATCACCGGGAAAGTTATTTTAGTAGTTGAACGTGCCATCATTTGATCACCTATTTAATAAATTTACAGGGCTTCAAGCCTTCCTCTCGATATTTCTATAGGTTTGGCTACTTATTTTTTAATAGGAGTATGTTAAATCTAGTTGGCTATTTTTTTTTTTTTCTTATTGTTTTAGGCATTTTAGTTTTTACCTTTGCTCATTCTTTACATTTTGCGTGAAGTTTTTTTTTAATTAAATATTTAAATTTTATTTAATATAGATTAGGTGGTCAACTCGAAGTAAAATATTTGATAGCGTGTAAGATATAGTGACAATTTTATTTATTTATCTTTTTTTTTGATTAATAAATAATTAAAGTACAAGAATTTTTTTTTTTTTATGTTAGGTATCGTTATTATTTAAAAATAAGGTCCAAGGTTTTGATTCACGCCAGGTGGTAGATCGTGTTCTCTGATTTTTTGCTTTTTCTATGTCTGAGAGTATAGTAAATGCACGATTTAGATTGTTAACAACAGCTTCTACATGTTGTAAATTATTTGCAATCCGTTCTTCATTAAGATGATCAACCAAACGTTGCAATGCTAATACTTTAGACTCAAGTATTTGATGCTTTTCAATAATATTCTCATAATTTTCATTTGCATCACGTTGATCAAAAATATTAACCTGATTATATGTTCTAAACACTTCTATATTTTCAGGTACTTGTAATTCGCTTCCATCCCATATTAAAAAAGGATAATCAGATTGTCGTTTGAAATTCGAATATATTAATCGAATATTCTGAGATTGTTCTGATGCTTTATGGATTAAATGTTTGCATATGAGAAAACGGTTATGAAGAAATGATGGACAGCTACAAATCCAGCGTTCAAGATCAATAAAATATCGGTCTTCGGCATTATTAAATGGTTTGGCAAGGAGATTTTTCCATTGTTTTCTGAATTCCTCAAACCAAGATGGTGTTATCCTACCAGTTAGCATTTGCTGAAGTCGGTTAACTTGGTCAGGTATAACACGTGAGCAGATAATCCATATTAAATAGTCTAGTCGTGGACGGCTAAGTTGAGAAAGGTAACAATGCTTCAGAACTCTCCAGTGTGCTTCTATCATATTATTGGTTTTACCTAATGGTATTGTTATTCGAGTAGAACGTGCCCAAAGGCACCATCATGTTGGCCTATACCAAGAAGACCATAAATAGGTCCATAATATTGGAAGATTATTTGTGGAGCAAAACTCATATATTTCAGAAACTGCTTTAACTCTTATTTCATTAGGGGACAAAAATTGTCCATTAATATTGATAGGGATCTTAGAATGCATATTGAAATGGTTTTTAACCATTTCAACAACAGTTTCACGAAGGTCAGGTGGGCAAACACTATAATATTCATTATCTGTTCATTGTAAATCGGGTATAAAAAGTGGATCAACAAAACTAAATTCATTTATGACTTCTTCATAGTTATAATTTATACGTTCAACCTTTTTATAACTTCTAAGTTTTTCTTTAATGGCTTTTTCGATATGCCATAAGCAAAGCTGCACATCAGTTGTGGGCCATGCATTTTTTGCGGCAGTTATCTCGGCGAAATCTTTATCGGTATAAAAGTAAATTGGGTTCAAACCTTTACTTCGAAGAGAGTGAAAGAAGCCGGTAAGTGCTTCAGTTCTTAATCCTTGTTGTTGTTCATTTTTAGAAGATTTAGTAGTATCCAAGATTAAATAAGCTAGTGGGAAACCAGCGCCTTTAATAAAAAAGATTTATTATAGAAAAAACGTAGGAAAAAAAGAAGAGAAAGTAACACAAGTTGAATGAAGGCAAATCGGGCTCAAACCTGCATAATGTAATTAATATAATTCCGATATGAACCTTATTGAAACAGATATTTGGCAGAAATAGGAGACCTTTAGGATACTAATCGGGTTCATATAGGTGTTCAATACATATCAGGATGCCAATAGCTCAATTGGTAAATCGATAAAGCTTGCCTAATAGCTTTATCGATTTACTTATAGAGCTATCGGTATCCCGATATGTATTGAACACCTATATGAACCCGATTAGTATCCTAACGGTCTCCTATTTTCGCCAAATATCTGTTTCAAATAAGGTTCATATCGTGATTATGTTATGCCAGTTGGAGCCCGATTTGACTTCATTCGACCTGTATAATGAATTAAACAAAAAGAAGAAAGTTTCACACCTTCAACATCACCAATGATGCCATAAAGTTCGAACCGTCCCTTAGAAGTTTTATAAGTGGCGTCACAGTGTATCTCTTCATAATGAGATTGTTCAAGCAAACTTGTCGTGAAGCCAATAGCAGTTGTATTGTCTGTTTCAAGTTGAAAGCACAAAGCGCAGTAATTATCAAGTTGCCGATCAAAAAACATACGTGCTGAAATAATATGATTTTCATCATTTTTGTAGAATTGTTGTGTATAATGCGACCACCAGTAATGGATTTGTTTGGTTGTAACAGTTGACATGTCAAACTTTTTGCGAAGATGTTGTCGTAATTCCGTAGGATTCAAGTGAAGATTTTCACTAATCTCTTGTTTTATTTCATGTGGCGTTGTAACCTCAATAGGTTTATCATGTTGAAGTTCATGCTTTAGTGTTACTTTAGCTTCTGCTGCTGGAATATCGATTTTAATCGATATTTTGCCGCCACAACTATAACGGAGGGTTCTCTTACGACTTGAATCCTTAAATTCTCGTTCAAGTTCATTACTTTGGGAACATGAAAAATAAGCATTCCCAACACCATGATAACGGGCCGAAAGATTTGGTGCAGTTGTAGCACTATATTTGTAGATATATTATCTATTAGCATATAGTTAAATAAGGTAACATGTTCATATCTACCATAATGCACTAATTAAAAGACCAAAAGTTCAATAGAATACCCGGGAATACTTTATTTAAGAATACGATGATCTTTTAATCAATGCGCTATGGTAAATATGTATTTTATTACGCACATCCAATTATAACCATCTCCTTCCTCTATTTCATCGATAATTAGTTTAGTCATAAGTTTAACGTCTGTACCAACTTCACTAAGTATGGCATCGTCAAGTCGAATATGATAAGTAAGAGAAAGCTTGGCTTGATTTTCTAAGTTATTGATTGCATTCGCGATATAGTCACTAACTTCATGCAGAGAAATTATCTCAATTGGTTCTTCTTTTTTAGGAGTTCTTACAGCTCTACAGCTATTACAAGTTTTATAGCTTTTGCCTTTATATACGAATTCTTCAGGAGGAGGATCCCGTGAACAAGTGCTGCAAGTAGGCATTGGAAATTGAAGAAATATTGCTATAAGCGTGTTTTATTATTGACAGATAAGATAATCAAGTTAATTTTATGTATAAAAGAACGATTTTGCACACTGAAATACTGTAATAATTTGTATTAATCGTATAGACGATAAATATGAAGTAATTTGTAGATCAACCAGAGCAATAAGTGAAGTTTTGAGAACTGTAATAATCAGGGAAGTAATTTGGTTATTTATAAGATTTCGTTAAAAAAAATACTGATGCTTTTAAGGTTTTTTTTTTTAAATTAAATTTTGAGGTAGCATTTTAGATATTTTAATTCTGACCTAGAATTTTAGAATTACGAGTGAAACTGACTCTAACAACCAAAGAAAAACTTAGTAAGGCTTAAGATTAGATCCAATTCTGAATGATATATAGTATGAAACAGATGAATGATCAAAATGCCGTGAAGCAACAATTTATTAATTGGACTGACTTCTAAAGATAGTTGATTCATATTATGTAATTAGATAATTTATTTATTTGATCATGAAATTATATTTTATTCGTTTTTGCCATCTATAAACTGATTTTATGATTCAATCGCTAAGTTGATTTGATTTGAATCGATTAATTCAAAAATAAAAATGATAAATGATTCGATTATTAAGCCGATTCAAATAATTATCCTAATTAAAAATGATCAATTGGTTTATGATTCGAACTGTATTATAATCAATTTCCAATTCTTTTCAAATACTATTCGATTGTTTCATTTAGCAAATAAATTGTTTTATTGATATATACTTTTCTCAGAATTTACTACCTAAATTCTGTATATTAAATTTATATTGGATTTTCAAACGAGTTAAGTAGTTTAACATTCATACGTATAAAAAAAAAATACCGATAAGGCAAACAATGTATATGAGTGACACCAAATGAAACGAAACTGGATTTCAGGTCATTATTTAATACCGGTAATTATTTATTTACTGGATTTAGGCTAAGGAAACTTTATGCACGGAATGGATGTACGATGTAGATCATC